GCGTGCGATTCACACCTGTAATCGGCCAAAGGGAAAAGACCGCCTGTGCAAGCGTCTTTTGTCAGCTGAGAGTTGACTTTGCTAAACGAATCGCCACTGCCTCAGTTGTGGCTAGCACCCATTTGCGCAAGCCTTTAGGGTAGTGTGCTGGTGCCGGGTATATGATCTCAATGGCCCCTCACGTCAACTTGCTGGTTCGTTTCGATTAAGTGTGCGAGATCGATCCACTTTCTCCTTTGCCACTATGTGTTCACATATCCTCTTCTCCGGCTGTCTCTTTGTTTGGCAATATAGCCCGCTCCACAGGAGCAAGTAGTGACCTGTTGTGGTACTCTGTGTTTACTCCCTACCTGCAGGAAGAGAGAGTTTGCGAAGAATACAGGTAACTTAGCCGCCGGGAAAGCACCCGTGGTAGCTCTCCTTCGTTTTACTAGATCACTTGCTGCTTTTCCCAGGAAAAAAACAATCATATAAATAGGTCTTTCTCCTCTGCAGTTGCAACGGCAGGCTTTTCGACACGCTCCTTGATGCTTCGGATATGAATATCCATAGATAGCCGCTACAGCTCTGCGTCAATTACTTCGGGAGAGTAAATGCGTCGTACTCTGACTGCCAATCTCTGGACAATTTTTCTTTTCAGATTAAGGAGAAAAAAACTGTACAAATTAATGCACTGTCCCGCCCAGGTTTTCTATCTGAATGCACCTTCTTTGTACTTAGTTGTGTAAGATGCTAGTGCCCCGGCGATTTCATGACAAAAGTCTTCCCATCTATTAACCGTGAGTAATTTAACTAAAGAAAGAATATTTACAGGCTCAACGTATAAACAGTTACGGTACGAGAACTCGTTTGTTCACAGCCGGTCGAAGAAGAGCGTGGATAAGACGTTATGCCTGCAGTCACAGAAACGTTTTTAAATGCTTCAAAGGAAGGAACCTGCGCCAAAGCTCAACAATGGTGGGGAGGGGGGGGTGGATGCAGTTATTAGGAGCATGCGTTAACGTCCGTCATCGAGGTACGTACACTTCCACGACGCAGTTGGCAACCAAACCTGCACATGAATCAAATTAACCCATCTACTACATTGGGCCTGGTTGTGTACTTCTCAGTACGGCTGGTTTAAGAAACCAACATCAAATTGTCGGGACTGGAACACGTTATTAGACCACATAAGCGCACCGAACTTTGTTAACACCATTGAAAATTTTCCCTGAACAGAAAGATACACTGCAAAATGCGCGTCCATAGACCGCGTAGTTACCAGTGTAAGTGCTGTTTGCGTCTGCTTAGGTTGCCACATGAACTCATCATCCTGGTGTCGTGCAAATATAAAGAAGGAATGCAATACTCCTGGTCGAAAGCTGCACGCATAGTTTCTGTCTCAAAGGTCTCGTTATCGCATATAAGGCATTATTTTGCCGGCAGAAATTTGAACAACAGCCAACCTCGTTGTCTTTACGCTGTTCAAATATGCCATATTAGTTCGTATTCATTGTAAGTTTGTGCAAATATAATGAGAGTATTTGTCTATGTAAAAGGTGCATAGAGCACTATTTTACAATCCCTTGTGATGAATAATCTAAAAAGTGGCTGATGTTTGGCAACATCTGGTCCATTCTTCCAAAAATGTATCAGGCTCCTATGTTAAGATTCGTTTTTCCTTCACTGCAGTTTTTTTAAATTGCAGCAAAAATGCAAACCTTCATACTTCGTTCGGTAAGAAAGACAAAGTAGTGAGGAAAAGTATGTTCCATAATAAAACGAAAGTATCGAAAAGTTTCTTGTCAGAAAAAAAACCTAGACATTTTACGAAGCACCACAGTGGGCGGATACTGTGCCTGTCATTCGTCGTTGACGCTACTTCTGCTTAACTTTTTTGGAGGAGAGGACGCGAACAAAATTGGCAAACACGAGGGGAGGGTGAAAGATACATCACCAAAATAATCATTTGCCAAATGACCTACGTGTTCACACAGAAAACAATGGATGCTAGGGACAATACTACAACCTTGATGAAGGTCATCTCCATTGAAAATGGAATTTCCCTTGTCATTATTGCGACATTCTTGTTGGTTTTGTTTCTTAATGGAATGAGTATTAAACAATTGAGTTTTCTATTGCTGTTGGCCTAAGCACCGTCCACCCTCGCGTTCTGCGCGCGAATACAAACTGTGTCATGATAAACGTTCTGTTTTTAATGAAAATATCGTTCCTGGCGATGGCGTTCGACGACGGGTTGGCCTATGCGTTCCCCAAGTGGCGACTGGCTTTGGCCAAATTGAGTCGCAGCACCAAATACGGATTCAACAGGTCGTTGCACTTGTCTATAGACTGGGAGCCCGTGAGCCATGACTCAACTAACTCGGGACCAACACGATTGGCGCCTCTTGCGAGCATTGACGCAGTCATCAGCAGCAATCACATTATACAATAAACAGGAGGTGTTCGCAAAGTAACTTCTGTGCTTGTTTCAGATCAGTCGAATATTTGTAAACTCGAACAGTTGCAAATATTTCCGCTCCATTTTATTCAGGACAGAAATATCTATGCAATAGGTGATGTGTAAGAAGATTTTCCTGTCAGAAATATTCCAACACAAGGCTTGAGACCAAGGTTTTATTCGGGGAGGGAAGAGCTGACCAAACAAAAGTAGTCTCAATGTGATATTCTGATAAGACATTGGAACAAGCAGTGGTTACCCTATCCACTGGTGTTTAGCTAAGGGATTTGGTCGTTTACATTCATTATAAATTACAAAGATCGCATGCCCACCAGACTCACGTTTGGTTTTGTCTTGTGTCAAACGCGTTGTCGCTACGGCGGTAATTAATGGCTCCTGCTCAATGACTGACTTTCGCAAAGCAGTTGCGCATGGCCGCATATTCCGCAAGCGGGGTGATTTGAAAATTGCCCCAAATGTTGGTTGGCGTCAAAGCAACTGGAGATGACTTAAAACGTGCTGGTCAAATCGAAATTGCGCAAAGCAGAGCGGATAACATGCAGACCACGGAAAAACGCAGATCCATGAAATCCAGTCGGTATTTTCGATATAATAATACGGCCCAATGAGCACACTACTCAGAGCGTCATAATTATAGAAGTGCAGAAGATTTATCCGTCTCTGAAGACTTCTAATCCAATTTTAAATCGAAATGTCAGCTTGCAACTAAATCTTCATAGCAGCAGACGCGCATTACCACGATGGATGTTCCCCTTGTTTGAGATTGCACTGCAACAATTGTAAGGTGTAGAAAACTGAGGATGCGGTTTAAGCGTATAAATTATTAATGTGACCCCGCTCAGACAGAACAGATGAATAGGAAAGGGCGGTAATACCATGGACTTCCATTAAATGCTGGGGTAATTATAGTTCGATTTAAGGTTATGATTGGTGTTAAGGTTAGGGGAAGATTGGGGGTTCGGTTAGGCTTTGGATTAGAGCTAGTTTTGATGTCATAGCACGGAAATAGATATCCTCAACTAAATTTAGCGTTATGCCACATAGATGACGGGATGAGTCGTCCCTAATTCCCTGTCCTACGGGGGCGGGCATATTAACGATCCCTACCGGTTTATTTTTATTATTCTCGGTCGTCCGTACAGACACAATAAATAATGCTAACATTCAGTTTCAGTTTCAGTTTCAGTTTATTTGGTGAGGATAATAGGCAATGCCTTTG